AAAAGAAGTGAGCTCTTGATTGCTCAATGACCTTCCAAATCTAGCCAATCCAAGCCTAACAATAAGAATTTCAAGGAAAGCTTAATAAAATAAACAATAGGTTAAAAAACAGATGAACTAAGCCCTATAACCAAGAATCTAAACTAGGACCACCAAAATGCTTCGTATGTGGTCAACCAGGTCACTTCAAGAACCGCTGCCCACATAATAGAAACCCACAAAATCCAAAGAATAGCATAAATAAAAGCAAGAGGCGTGAAGTTGTTTGTATAGTTTCTGAGTGCCTGATCGTAGACTACGACTTCAAATGATGGTGGGTAGACTCAGGTGCTAATTGGTATATCGCAAGCTCAAAAATCCTATTCGATGACTTTAAAGAAATAAAAGCTGGGGATAAACACATTTACATGGGAAACAACATCTATTCTGATGTATTAGATGCAGAAACTTGTAGGTTGTATATAAAGACAAACGACTTTGTATTAACTGATGTATATTTTGTCCTTTGTATGAGACGAAATACTGTATCTGCCTCCTTGCTCATTAGAAAGGGTTTTGAAATCCGCTTCTTCTGAACATTGAAAGTATCAATTGGAATGCGTGGACAAATTTATGCTTGGGGACACTTGGTTGATAACCACAACTTGTTCCTTCTTCATGTAAATGAGAAAGCTGATAATAAAATTACAACTTATTCTGGATATGTTGATTGTGTAATGGTTGTTGATGCATATACTTGGCATCTTAGGTTTAGCCACATAAGAAAAACAAAATAAATAGATTAAGCCCTGATCAACATGATGTTGAAGCACCCACACACCTAATGTTAAGTGGTCAAAAGAAGTCTAGAGCTCCTCCATCATATCTTTGATGATTTCTATATCTGTATGAGTGAAGAGACAACTAACATTATTGACTTGGATGAAATATATGCCCCTTTTGACTTCAATGATGCTATAAAGTCACAAGAATCTCAAGAATAACTTAATGCTATGAGAGAAGAATTAGATTCTAAAGAGAAAATAAAGTTTGGGATCTATGTGATTTACCATCAGATACGAAACCTATAGGTTCTAAATGGGTACTTAAAAGGAAGTTAAAATCTGATGGATCACTTGATAAATTTAAATCTAGGTAGTAGTAACTAAAGGGAGTCGACTATGTCGACACTTATTCCCCAGTTGTCATGTTTATATCCATTTGAATAATTTTGGCAATTGTTGCATATTATGACCTAGAATTTTACCAAATTGATGTAAAGACCGTATTCTTGAATGATGAACTAAAGGAAACCATCTATATGAAGCAACCTGAGGCTTAATAATTAAATGTCAAGAAAATAAAGTATACAAATTAAACAACTCTTTATATAGTTTAAAACAATATTCAAGATAATGGTACTTAACATTTCATAATGCCATCCTACAGATGAGATATGAAGTAAATAGATTGGACCATTGAGTTTATGTCTTGAAGAGTGTGAGTAAATTCACAATACTCTCATTATATGTAGATAATATCCCAATAGCTGGAGATGACTTAGAAATGATTGATAAGAGTAAGTTATGGCTTTCTTCTCGGTTTAAGATGAAAGATATGGGAGAAGCATTTTATGTCTTAGGCATAAAAATAACTAAATATAACAAATAAAAAATGTTGGGTTTGAGCCAAGAGAGATATCTTGACTCTGTTCTCAAAAGATTTAAAATGAAAAATTGTAAGCCATTGTCAACTCCTGTTAAAAATGGAGTAAAGTTGTTTAGGAAGGATTGTCTAGTAGAAAGACAAAAAAAGCCTAACGTTCCCTATACACAAGCTATTGGTAGCTTGGTATATGCAGTTAGATGTACAAGACTAGATTTGAGTTATGTCATATGACTTGTTAGTAGATATCAAAGTCATCCATGCATAGCTCATTGGAAAGCAGTAAAAAGAATTCTAAGGTACGTTAAGTGAACAAATCATCTAAAATTGTATTTTCAAACAGATAAACTTGAAGTTATAAGATATTTAAATACAAATTTTGTTGGGGATAAGGATGATAGTAAGTCCACCTCAAGACATACTTTCCTCTTTGAAGGAGCAGTTGTTTCTTGGTCTAGCAAGAAACAAGTGTGTGTAGCTAGGTACACACAGGAAGCTGAGTACATTGTATGTAGCACTGCTTGTACTTTTGCCGTCTGGATAAAGCGCTTCATAGACGACTTGAAGCTGCAAATAATTGACGGACTAATCCAAATATTTTGTGATAATCCAGCCGCAATTAAATTATTTCAAAGTGGAACAAATAGTTCCAAAAGAAGCATATAGATGTCCAATATCGCTACATTCAGGATGTAGTTGAGAAATGTGAAGTAACTGTTAGTTACTTACCCTCATCAAATATGATCGTTGATCTATTAACAAAGGGTTTAAGTGTTAAACTACTGTCTAAGCACACTAGTTTAATAGGACTTAAAAATGTTTAGTCGGTTAATTTTCATGAATGAATCCGCATTAGAGTGAAAATCCTCATGATAGACATTTGTTATGAGAGGCATATCTATAAAAGCATGAGAAAAACCTCATGACAAGATATTTTCTTAAAGTCATACTCAAAAGTAGGAGTAGGCATCAGCAGTTATAACCAAGTGGGAGATGTTGACATGTATGGCTATGAGGCCTTATGTGTCTTAGCCTACATTTGTGGGAATTCAATATATCCAACGGTCATATGGTCCAACGTCCACATGAACGTAACCCCTTCGTTTTATCAAAGCATTGGAAAAAAACAACGGTTACCCATTATTCTCCTTATAAAATGGGACGCCAGAGAGAGGATGCGAACAACTAGGAAAATGTGTACTCTCTATTTCTAAAAAATGAAGTGATAAAAAATATGGGCTCTACGATCTCCAGCCTCACGGCATCCTTTCTCTGATCTTAGGCTTAGTCTCTTCCACGCTTCATCAATTTTAACTATCAAATATATTATCGATAATTATGTGTGGTATGTCGAGGAATAATTTTTCTTTTTTTTTCATTTGGCTACTTTTTTTTATGAATATGGAAGTGAGTACTTTTCTTTTAGTTTCTGTGAGTACTTTTCTTTTAGTTTCTATTTTCTATAGCTTACTTTTTAGATGGAATTGAAATGTTCTTGTTGTTGGGTACATACTTCCTCATTTGGTTTTCAAGAGGAATTTAAATTTAAATTCACTATCAAAGTTCAAAGATACTCCTGGCATTAATTTAAACCTCCCATTTAAAAAGTGGTCCATCCTCACCTGCTGCTATTGAAAATAATAGAGAGAATCAAATTAGGAGAACCCGATAATAGAACTGAACCATGAGAAAGATGGCAATTGGGGCTTCTAATGTCCATAATAGTTTGTGACTAAAAAGATGTGTCAAATCTGTACCATCCATTTAAACAAATTTAAATGGATGATACATATAATTTAAACAGATTTAAATGGATGATACATATAATTGCAAATTGTAATTATTGGATTACCGGCATCAAAATTAAAAAAGAGTCCAAGGCCAATGTGGGGCTATTAATGGGCTCCGGCCAGTCCCTTGGGCTTTGGCATAGGCCTAGTTTCAGGCCAGATGTTACAGCACTCAAGTCAGTCCTTGTAGGCCCAAAATACTTTCACACCAGGCCTGGAAATTTTTCAAATATATATTATATATACTGAAGATCTTTTTTTCTATATTTATAAGGGTTGGGCATGGCCCGAAAGTTTTCAGTCCAATCTGGGTTTGAGCCTTTTTCTTCTTTTTTTTTAATGACAAGCGCATATAACTTTTTATTCAAAAATCAATAAGTCGGTTACAAAGATAAAGATGAGATAAACAAACTTTCGGCCTGAACCCCATCTTTAACCAAAAAAAGCACAAATCCATCACCTGCAACCACTACTTTTTTAAGCTCCAAGGAGGCTTACTCTTACCCAAGCACCAGTTAATAACATTCAACGAATCCCCTTCCACCTCCCAACCCAAACCAGGAAATTGATCTTTCGAGATTTTTATCTCCTGTAACACCGTTAAAAACTCAACAGTATTAGGAGTGAGAGTCCCACATGGGCCAATATAGAGGAATATCTCCATGCCAGAAGAAGTCTAGGTTGGAGCCTAATTATCATTATTTCTAACTGGTCCCACGCGAGGCCCAAAACTAAATTTTATGACCTGACCCATGCCCAGGCCTACACCACAATATTTTGGGCTGGGCTCAAGACATGCGGGCCTGGCCCAAGCCATGCGAGCCTGGCCCAAGCCATGCGGGCCTGGCCCAAGCCATGCGGGCCTTGCCCAAGCCTTTGACCAATGGCTATCTACATTGAAACTCAGTTATCCTTCGCATTTTGCATATGCATGATCCGATCCGAGCCGTGTCGTGTGAAATATTTTATTTTTTATTTTATGTTTTTGAGTTAAGTCTTATTTGAGATTTTATATTACATGACCATTTACTTTTAGAACAATGAAGTCACAATTATTTTTAGCTATTAGATATGAAATCTAATAGATTGAAGTATGCCACAACATTCAATAAACTTTGTTTTGGACTTTGTGCCCAATTAATGACACATCTTCAACCACCAAACTTCACATCTAATGTTCAATAATGATTATGGCCTTGTATCGAAAGTAATCAGTCTCATTGTAATTCCTTGTAAAATTATTTAGAGATGGTGGACAATGATAAGTTTCCTTTCATATATGAAAGTCATAAACACCCCACTCCATCCGGTGGCTGGCAGTGTGTCATTTTTCTATAAAAATTTGAGGAAAATTTCTTTGACTTCAAGCATGTGGTACACTTTCAGCTGATTTGCACGTATGAAGATTACTGTGACATTTTTGTACCAATGATAAATAACCTTATTATATATTGTCCCAACTTTTCAGATTTTTTTATTTATTAAGTAGTTCAAAATACAAATATATATATATATACAAAGTATGAAGATTGAGAGAGAGAGAGAGAGAGAGAGAGCATGACTATATGAGTAATAGAGAATTTATTTCATTGTTATATAGGTTGAAAGTTGGCACATCAACATATGACATATATTTGTGTAGTGTTGTAGCGCAATGCTTATGAAGGCAGCCCCCATCAAATGTTCCTAGACTTTATGATAAAGGAAGTCAGCCCCTATTCGTCTTCCTTTAGACTCTGCACAAGCAATTAGAATCAGTAAGGTAAAAATCAAGGCACCCAAAAGTAATACATTGTACCATAACTAATTTCTATACAGCAGGAGAAGTATAGAAATATTTCCCTAATAAAAGAGAGACAACTGCAATCAGACCTTGGGTCAATATCATCTATATACATATATTTAGGGCTAGATTTTGGTGCATGTAGTTGTTTGGTTGTGCCCTATATACGACCTGCACCAGCTATTGTAATTGAATTGTGTAAATTATATTTGAAATTTGAGATTTAAAAAAGATGAGTATGGACTATTATAAATTTGGAGAGAGAGAGAGAGAGATGATTACTGTTCATATTCTATATTGATCACTCCGGCATTGGGATCAGCAATTTGAGAGAATGCTTCCTGAGAGAGATCAATGGTGCTCCTGCACCCGGGAGGACAATAGTCGACAACACGCACCACCACACTATCACCTCGACAAGGCTCGGGGACGCCCTGATTGGTACCTCCGGTGCACCGCACCCTGTAATTCCTACCGCATGCCGCCCGATTATCCCAAATTGCATCGCTTGCTGCAGCTATCATCACACCATTGTCCTGGAACCCGAAACACGATGATGCTGAAAAATAATGCACCTTATTAATTAGTGGAAAATGGTTTGATAGGTCTCCAGCCTTATCAAAATAAGTAAAGCCTCACCACATAACTCATCGAAAATTGCAAATTAAGTATTGAAAAATCATTACATCAATCATCTTGGCTTGAACATTATGGTCAATGGAAAAAAATTATGATTTCAAGCTCTAAGAATAATGTATATTGTAACAAATTATCTGGATCGTCTTTTTTGTCTTAAAAATAAGTGTTCGTAGATCCGTAAGATCTTTACCATTTTTTAGTTTTAAATTTCATTGCCTATGTTAAAAATTGATTTTAGAGCGCCATCATGAAGATTGTCATTACCAAAAGTGCTTTCCGGACGAGGATCTGAAGTGAGGCTTTATTTTGTTTTCATAAAGCCTAGGCCTTATAGAAACGTCATCCTTAAAATAAAATGAGAAAAGTGTCGAGAAAAATAGTCAAACTACCTCAAAAGCCCGATAAAATCATTAAATCAAGTAAACATCTAACATAGAGGTTCATTGGTATTAAATCATTTCATTTAGACACCTCCTCCATAATTTTATTAGGAAATTCCCAAATTGTTCCGCGGTTATGGAACCTTAAAAAGATGAGGGGATTTTGGTAATTTTCTCGCTGAAGTCACTCAAGTTAGATAACCTAAATTTTCCTATTTATATTGTGTTTCAGACTAGGATCATATTTTTTCAATAAAATTTATTGCTTCAAGTTTGGAACGTCGAACAAGCAAGAGTATTTATGTCTTTTAGCTCGGCCAACCTATGAGGGGCTAAATTATCAAAATGCCTTCGATTTTTCTGAATTCAAAACCTGGAACAAAAAATTTTGTACAAATATTTCCTGGGTTTATAACTCATAATGAACATGCATATTTAGGTTATTTGACTTAAGTAACTTAAGTGGGCCAAAAAACCATTACTCTGGTGTTAGAACATCATCAAATTGATAACCTTGATACCAATAATTACGAATTTAAAAAAAAATTGATTTCAACCTAAAAATAATATATTTTGAAATTGCAATACATTATCACCACAATCTATTTTCAAGTGTTCATAGATCCATATCATATTCTATATTTAATTTTCATAAAAAAAATGGATAAAATGGATTGCAAAACCTGGCCCAGCCTGACCCAAAACATCATAGGAAAAAAAAAAAATGAGGCGTGAACCCAACGTGACCCTCTTGTTGGATTCATGATAATGAGGCGCGAACCTAGCCCAGGGCCAGACCCATACAAAAAGGTCAAAAAATTGTTCAAATATTCCGGGCCTACTGGCCTATTAGCTCTAACATGCAGCTCGAATCAGCCCGAAATAGGGCTGCCAAAAGCTATCATGCCGGTCCAAGCCCGTTAACAGCCCTATTTCGGCCCAAACCCGCCCCCTTCCCCCCCCCCCCAAACAACTCCTATTTTCCCCTTAAAACAAGGGCTTTCAGTTAACCCCATCTAATGATCACTTAAAAAGGAAAATCGAGGTACTTACGAACATAAGGGGGAGTATAAAAAGTGGCAGTGCCTGTGGCCGCGGCCGCATGAGAGGCAAAGCTAAGAAGGCAGAAGGCCATCAACACAAGAAAATTATTCATCCTTCCCATCTTGTTAAAGCCTTTTTGCATGCACCTATGAATGAACAAGGGCTCCTTTTATAGGTTAATTTTGCATGTTTGATTAATTCCATTATTAACCTCTTGACTCGAGTCGGTCCTAGATGACTTGGACTTGCAAAAGGACCCCCAAATTAAGTGAACACGTCCCATCTTATCCAAGGCATTGAAGTCTAAGCATGTGTGAAGTTCCCCAGAATTTGAGCCCAGATTAACGTGCACGCACCCCCCTTTTCTTCATGCCTCTTCCTCGGTCATTTAATTGGAGGAAAGACTTTTGGTGAGGCGGTGTTCATATGCGTCCACTGTCAAATATTTCATCCTAGAGGTGGATTTTGAGTCCAAACTCTTACAAGCCAATAATCTTGACCATCATGAAATTGAAAGAGAAATTTTGAATTTTTAAACAATAAAAATAGATTATTTTATTTTTTTATTAAAATAACATCCAAAAAAGTCTAATTTATTTTTAAGATTTAAAATTTAGAAAAATTTATATGGACTTTTTATTTTGTTTTTAAAAATTTAAAAATAGTCTGTATTACATTTGTTATCAAGTCCTACTTTTTGAGAGCTTATTATATATTTTAAAATTATCTTTTATCAACGAGTCGGATAAAGCTCAAATATGGGTCATCCATACTTCTCACTATCACATATCGAAAAAATAATACATAAAAAAGAAACTGATAACGAAATATGATCATAATACCTTTACAAATTTTCAGGGATATTTTAGTAATTTTAGTCTTTAAATTTTTTTTGTATTTTTTTTAACAAGTATGTGTGTGGGTGAGAGAATGGATGCCTGAAGTTTTTCCATGAATTTCTTTACAATTCATTCATTTTGTTATATTCGTTTATTTTTTTCAAAATATATCGGTTTCGTATCAAAACCCCATCCTTTATCAACACCTCAAGCAAGTTAAGCTCATTTATGGGTTCCCATTAAAGTGAAAATTTTGAATGAGGACCTATTTAAACGTGCCTCCTCCTTCAACATAATGTCTTACTCGCTATTTCTACCGTCTAACCTATCCAAAAATAAATAAAAAGGAGAAATTTACATACGGATCGGATTAAAGGTTCATTATAACAAAATGGCTCAAAATTAACCGTTATTAAGATGGAATTTGAATTTTTTAAAAATAAATTTAATAAATTTGACGGGCCAATGTTTAAAACATGAGACCTCATGTTGATCCCTTCCCGCTTACGCTCTCTGTCCTTAACCCCTCGCCTCTCTCTCTCTCTAACGCTTCAAACCCCAAACCATCGTCTCATCTCTCTCCATACATACGTAGTCTAACGCCTCGCCTCTCTCTAATCCTCCAAAACCCCTTCCACCTCTCT